GTATTTTTAGTCTTTATTTTACTGTTAAAATAAATGTTTATCAAAAAAAGTCTGTTACAACTAATTGGGGATCCCTTTAAATAAAAACTCATGTTCTTGCTTCTAGAGGGAGGAACAGAATGTTAAACGGACGCGGCACACGTGGTATGTTTCCTCCGACACACCTGTTTTCTGTCTGTAGCACTGATAAATGCCAGAGCCAGACAGTAATTTTCTTTTTACTGTTGAAATGACACTGCAGGGGCAGCCTGACCAGAGAACACTCTGCCTCCTATGGCATCAGGTACGTTACGCTCCGGTCTCACCTTCTGTCATTTTTATTAGACGTGGAGTAAAAACCTGTTGTTTTAAGTAAGGAGCAGTCCAGTCCCAACGCTGCTGTCTATAAAGAACAGAGGAAGAAGGAAAAACAGCGTCTGGAGAAGGAGAGAAAGGAGCAAAAAGAGAGAGAAAAGAAGGATAATGAAATGAAGAAGAAATTCAAAGTAAGCAGATTGTTTTGTTCTGGTGGAGCTGCCTAACGTCAGCTCTGCTCTCAGCCAGATTAATAAGCCCTGGTTTGTGCAGCTACATCTAAAACCAAACTCTAACTCCACTCTAAGCTGGGATGCTCTTCTGTTTGACCCAGGTGACTGGGAATGAGGAGCCAATGTACCATGCCAAGGTGATGGTGGCCAGTAAGGTTCGCAAGAATGACCTTCCTGTGATGAGCGGGGACACGGTCAGCATCATCCGGACCACCAACTGTCCCAAAGGCAAATGGTTGGCCCGAGACGCCAACCACAAGTGTGAGTAAAGTCTTGGCAGTTTTTAAAAGTGTTGATGCAGCTCCTTAATAACTTTACACCTATTATTCTTGTTGGTTGTAATTTTTCATTTGGATCTTTTTTGACAGTTTTGGGCTGAAAAAATCAAAATGTGCAGCTCAGTCTGTATAATGTCTAAATAACTAAGATTTTGAGCACCCATTCATTATAGGACATGAATGAAATTCAACAAAAATGTCCATAAACTGTGACATTTTGGTAAAATAAATGGTTCACAAAGTTGGGGTCAGGACCCCTCTGTGGGTCTGGTCTGTAGATGCGTGTAGACTGCAGAGTCCAGGCCTGTAGATGAGTGTGGACTGCAGAGTCCAGGCCTGTAGATGTGTGTAGACTGCAGAGTCCAGGCCTGTAGATGAGTGTAGACTGCAGAGTCCAGGCCTGTAGATGAGTGTGGACTGCAGAGTCCAGGCCTGTAGATGTGTGTAGGCTGCAGAGTCCAGGCCTGTAGATGAGTGTGGTCTGCAGAGTCCAGGCCTGTAGATGAGTGTGGTCTGCAGAGTCCAGGCCTGTAGATGAGTGTGGTCTGCAGAGTCCAGGCCTGTAGATGAGGGTGGTCTGCAGAGTCCA